TGATCTTGTCAAAGAGGTCGTGCAATGCAAACCGAATGTTCCTCTGGAATAGAACGGGTACAATCGTCTGGAAGAAGCTCGAGTGGCTAATATGAGAAAGGCATCCCTAGTGTTTTGAGTGGGGATGAAAATTGTAGGACTGTTCGATTACATGCGTGAAATTCTTCAGCATTAGCAACAGAGCGATATCAATAAACGTGACCAATCACGACATAACTCTTCAGCGATTCGAGGACAAATGACATCACACTTCCTCGTTTCTTGATCTCCCCTCTTTTTACTTGATTCATGCACAAGAAATGACATTCAGATGTCGAATACAATGGAAGAAGCCAACACCGCATCGAGTCAAACTTCACTGTAACCATGGTCGCTGCTTTGAGTGAATGAATCAAGACAGAGGTTTCTCTATCGATTTCTCTTGGTACCTTCTCTGTCACAAGATCGATGATGCAAATGATGATGTCAGCTTCTCCTGGCATAATCATCCGATAAGTCTTTACGGGGATTATGAAATCTGACATCTGTTTTGAATTGCTGACGAATATGAGAATATCTGAGACAAGGATTATTTCATAGAGTGTTGCGGAAAGTGGGAAGGATGATGCAGCTCAGGATTTAGTTGTTCAATGGATCGAGATTATCCCAGGCCTTCGAAGGTCAAATCAATCGCGTAAGATATTTCGATCGGTTTCACTGAATAAAACAAGGCTATTTTCATTTGTCTCAAACACCAGCAACGGATATAGCAGTAGTAGAGCCAGATGAAGAATTTACTTGTTCTTACGTAGACACAGAAACCAATGCAATCGTGGAAAGTGGAGGCTCTGTTTCGACGATTTAGTGAACGGTTTCCATTTCGTCATGTGATCCAAGGGTCAAAGCACGTTGGCAAGCAATGTCAGCATGTTCCCGATATCGAGATGGAGCCTCCAACACCGCACAAATGAGACAGACTTGATCGATTTTTGTTGGTGAAATAAACACTAAGATAAGTCTAGATACTAATCGAACTCTTTTCGACTCTGATTATGCAAAACGAACAAGGTCTTGGTCTTGCTTCAAGCCAACCAGTACATAAATGGCGGTCTTCGGACCAAAGTCGAGCCCACTACCCGCCGGCGTCGGATGGAATAAAGTGACGGACTTCGACCATAAACAACCAACGCCTTTCACGTTCTCTGGGATAGACAGAGCGTGTGACAATGAGGAATGTCCTTCTCTCACCTGCCACCGTCTGACATATCTTTGCCAGTACGGCACCGAAATTTTCTACTTATTTTTCAGGCGAAATCTGCCACGAGCATTGTTCATGTGATACAACAATCAACGCAGGATGCACGAGCGATTCTTAGTCGAGGTTTTCAGTCTTTACACTATTCGACTAACATTATCTCTGAATCTTACTAGCAAATTTCCGAGAACCTTCTGATGAAACCAAACTTTCTTCGCGCTCGTTATTTGATCTTGGTTTCATTTCTCTAGTCTATGTAATTAGATTCCTAAACATACCTAATGATGATCAGATTAAGCCCTGATCGAAACGATCGTCGTGTGATGCTTTGAAATCACTTATATAGAGAACGCACCGTCACCCTCACCCCAAATCTCAAGCGTTGCATCGAACTAAGCTAGGACTTGCCTATTATCATCCATGCTAAATGCGCAGAATAGATCTTTTTTTTTGAAGAAAAACTCGAGTTAGGTTAGAGAAGACGGCATTGTTGCTTCTTGTTTTCTTCATTTACTCTTTAACTATGTAATAAGTTATCATCCTATCTTATCAGCTATTTAGTTGTTGGCAAAGTCATCTAGGTATCCATTATAAACGTGGTTGAAGAGAGAGCAAACAGTGCACATTACCTACTTAATCTGAAACATCGTTATAGACACAAGTAAAACCAACGGTATAAGTAGAAGAATAATATAGCTGATAAGATAAGATGCTAACTTATTACATAGTTAAAGAGTAAATGAAGAAAAAAAGTAGCAACAATGCCATCGTATCATCACAAAAGCACCGGTGTACAAAACGGAAATGAACGGTCAAGAGCAGTGAAACAACTGGATGGAAATTACGCATAAGCCACCTGTTTAGACGCTGGATTGCTCTTAATTCAATAAATAATTATAATTGTTCAACAAAGACTGTTTTCAGACTAAATAGCTTGCATTCAGTAAGAGTATTGTAACGAGATCTGGAGGGTAATCGAGATCTTTTCGTGTGTGTTAATGGGTCTGAATTATTAATAAGATAAAAAATAGCTAATCACTCCAAAAATATATGCATGTGCTTCCTAATCGATAGTAATATCAATACGAAAAAGGGCTCAACTATTATAAAAATGAATAACAGAAAAATGCGAAAGTTTTAATTTTATTGAATGGTCAAAGTTTTTTGTCATTGTTCGTATCGATTTGAACATAATGTAATAATTGTCCAACTGACATAGAAGATAATTCATCCGCTGGTAAATCAAACTTTAAGTGTTGTTGTAACAATGTGTGTAAATGAATAAAGCGTATTGAATCTAATCCATATTGTATTAACGTTTTTTGATCATCATTATCAGCTATTGATGGTAAATCGATACGTATTTGTTTTAATATATAGTCAAGTTTATTTATATTTGGCATAGATGTTGATAATTCCAGTTTATTATCTAAATCCATTGTATTTTCATGACTGTCATTGAAATATTGGTGAATTAATTCTTGTGTAAAACGTACATTAGACTCAACCATCTCATCATTGATTAGACTGCCAATATAATAAGTTCGATTTAGCACGTTCGGACGCATCCAAATTAAACGCGTTTAGACACGTTAATGTCTCTCAAACGCATTTGAACGCGTAAGGAACAAACGCGTTTAAGTGCGTTTACTAAATAACGCGTTTCACATCGTAATTCGCCACCTTTAACACAGCTGAACGCGTTTGGAAGCATTTCGTAGAAGCTGCTGTTCAACGCATTATAATCTAACGCGGCTCACCGGATTTAATTCCCGCGAATTCCTTTGCAGTATAGCGAAAAGAAGGTTGATAACTTGGTGGAAACGGAGCAGGACTATAAGGCTGATCAAGAGGATCAGAAGAAAAGCTACTTAGTGGAATTCACATAGTGCAAGACCTCAAGTACCTTCGCCTTTTACATACTTCACTTTCCATTGTTGAAATAGCGTAAATGTGAAATCCTTCTCTTCACAAAGTTACAGATCATTCAGTATGTGAGCAGTTTACATAAAGATAGAGATGCACAAGACCTCGAAATTCCACTGTCTTCGAACTTTTGCAGACTTCTTCAATTTTGGAATTGAACCTATAGGTAAAAGAGCAACGAAACTCAGTAATTACCATTCCAGCCCCCCAGTCATTAATTCGGAAAATCAAAAGTGATTTTAAGGCTACTTTACTTCGAGCAAAATGAAAGATCTCTCCAGACAAGAGTAAAAAATAGCTGCTCGGGACCTAGAAGACGCAAGCGAGCAAACAAAAAAGAACATTTTCTCAGTAAGCTGTCGATGCTCGAAACACGTACTGATGATACAGTTCATCTTTCGAGCATCTTTAGTTCAACCTGTTCTATGCTTGCTTCTTAATTCTAGGTACACACGTTCGAATCATCGTTACAGCAGAGTAAGTTGTTTTAATCTTCGTTAACTTGTGAACCTTGACTTTAAGATAGCCGTGGACGGCCGTGTGAGAGCATGGAGACTATCTGTAAACGTCAGCTGATTCTGAATTTACTTTGTAATTTTTTTCGAATTTAAAAATTTAACGCGTAATTAAACGCACTGGAAACTAGCGCGTTTAGCAGGATGTTTTTTGTCACATTTTGGGCGTTCAAGCGCGTTAAATTATAACGCGTTCTAACGCGTTGATTAACGACGCTGTGAAACGCATTAATCACTAACGCGTTTGAACGTCCGGAATGTGACAAAAAACATCCTGCCAAACGCGTTAGTTTCTGTGAAAATTTAAACGCACTCTAGTGCGTTTTTTTCGCAGAAAAAGTTTGCCTGAGTACAATATCATTTTCAAGACCACATAATACAAATATCTTTATTTGTCATTGTTATATGAATAAACATCAAATATTGGAACAAATTACACAATATTTAAATGAAGATATTAAAAAAATTAATTCTAATGCATATATAATTCAAATAAACAAGCGTTTGATTCCGTGTGGTTTAATGGGTTATTGTACAAGTTGAAAAAGATGAATGTGCTCGGCTACGTATGGATCTGGAGGTTCGCCTGTATCGCCGTTATTGTACATATTGTTTACCAGTGCTTCATTATCCATCATTCCAAGTTACAGCAACCTGTTTGCAGATGATACTGCGCTTTGGAGTATTGCTTATACAACAAAAAGTTTGTCAATACGTTTACAAGAATCGGTAGATCCACTTCAAAATTGATCTACTTCACCAACGTCCACGACGCCGATTGAAAGTACCAATGTCGATAGTACTCAATGGTCAACAAATACAACAGCATGATACGGTGAAATACTTCTAAGTATTTTTGAAACTTTCCTACATAAAGCTTTTTTGTAGCTGTTATAGTTTAGCTGTGTTTTGCAGTTCTTCACACTGAAGTCAAAGTCGATGTCCATTTTTCGTGATTCCGTTACGTGCCTATATTTCATTCATAAAACCGGGACGGAAGGACCAAAGCAAGTGAAATTTAAAGGACGTGCAGAGCAACTGGACTTACATGTACTCTGAAAATTTCAGCCTTGTGCGATTTGACCTAACTGACATAGTAGAGAAACAAAACGAAAAAACGCAATTCCGTTATGCTTGGACTAGTGAGAATCATTAAGTTTTACTTCGCGCTTTATTGTATTTGTTTTGTGATTAAATGAAAATGAAAGAATCGTTAGTATGACCTACAATGATGAAGAATCGTTTTTTGCATGCTCTATTTGTTATCGGTATTGAATATGAATTATCCCTGTGATCGTCATGGATTTATGATTTTCTAAAACAAGAGAAAGTCTTGCCTTGTGAAAAGATGTTTGCTTCTCTTGTTTTCTTTTCGTACTTTGTTTTTCGTTCTAATTTATTCTACATTTGACAAAAACAAGAGAAGCAAACATCTTTTCACAAGGCAAGACTTTCTCTTGTTTTAGAAAATCTTAAGTCCATGACGACCACAACGATAAGTCATCTTCAATGCCAATAACAAACAGAGCATGCAAAAACGATTCTTCATCATTGTAGGTCATACTAACGATTTTTTCATTTTCATGTAATCGCAAGGCAAATACAATAAAGTGCGAAGTAAAACTTAATGGTTGATGTTAAGATGGTAGCAGTATTAGGAAGTCTGAAAAGGTATTTTCCGAGTTCGGGTCAAAATCAATTTTAATCTGAAAAACTTGTGGGATTGGTTAGAAATCAGTATAAGACGGAATATTGTTGAGGATGTAATTAAGCACAAATCCCAAAGCTATTTTACACAGAAACAAAATCCAGGCACAAAAAAATTGTTAGAAACGGCAAAAAAACGCGTCACGAAACTTCCGTTTTCTGACCTGTTTGCACGCATTTTCTATGGGATGCACACGTGTAAACGCATTAAAACAGTCTTTTGAACACTTTAGAAATGCGTTACTTTTGCGTTAAAAATGTACAAGAAACGCGTTTCAGATGTAACATTTACCGCGTTTTTGGATTGTTAAAAACGAAATAAAAACGCGTTTCGGGATAGAGTCTGCAACTCCTGAATCGTTCCAGAAACTTGACAACGTCTGTTCCATTTTCCGTTCTCACGCGTTTTTATTCCGTTTTTAAAAATATGGACCAAGGATATGCCTTTTCGATAACAAGTTATGTTTCCAGCTAAAGGTAACTAATATAATTATAAAAATTATTAATAGAATGATGTCAGCTACTTCAACGGCAAACAAGTTCCAGAAATTATTGATATGAACAAAGCAACAACAGGAAACGCTCGAATGGCCGAAGCAAGAACACGTTATTATTTGTAGAACGAAAAAATATACTGCAAACGATCGCAATCGTCAAAGACAATTTATTTTGTTGTACATCTACCTTGTCACTAATATTCTAATCTAAGATTTATAAATATCTGAAAAACTTGGTCGTTCTAGCGAATTGGCGTTCTCTGAGACTCACCTCCTATAGGGTTCATCTTTTCGGAAAAGGTGAACCCTATAGTATCGAAGTACTACTTCGATACTAGCGCTACCAGTAAAATTGTTCAACTTCTATTGACTTTCATTTGACTATGAGATAAAAGATATTTTTTATCTGCCAAAGTGATCGTAGTAACCGCACGCGCAAAATTTGTATTACCTTTATCTTCAGTCAAGAGAATATAAACTGTAGATTTCTACTGAATAAATGGGTAGTTCGACGGTCGATGATGATAATGGACCATATTACAACATTAATGATACAAAAAATATTAACCTTTTGAATGAAAGGAAAAAAGCACTATTTAATACTGAAAAATTAACTGAAATATTGTATGACGGATATTTTGATATAAATACAAGACGAAAATTAAGTAATATTGAAAAAAGTAAGTTAAATTTCTTTTCTCATTAACTTTTATTTTCATGATTAGCACGCCATGCATATAAACATCGAATTCATGGTACTCATTTACCATTAGAATATTTAAATCCAGATGACCATTATAAATTGATAACAGATAAAAGTGTTGCAGTGACGATTGATTGCAAATCTTTTTCAAAAATATTTTATAGAAAATTGGTGGAAATCTGCACCCAAGAGCTTAACGAACCAACTAAAGATCAATGAGAGCTACGAATGCATGAGGTGGCTAATAATTCCGCTAATTTTTTCTATCAGGTTTCCAGAGGATCTTTGGAAAATCAGCTCCGTTCTCAGAAAACTAATATACAATGTTGGTAATCTTTTTGCATGCATAGATAATCCGGACGTTATTCTACAAAATTATGCAAGCCCTGGCTCTCCAGCTATCGTCGTTCGGACAGGGCTCGCTTTTCCCTAGCACGTGTCTATCTCGGAGCAAACATCTCTGGGAATCTCAAAATGCCATGGACTATAGGTAATCGAGATATAAGAATTTTAATTTTTGCTTGTAACAGCTGAAAAACCGGTTTTTCATAAAAATGTCTCTGGCTAAGTTATATGCATGTCTACACAAAACCAAATGTTGCTACTATGCTCAGCGTAGTCAATTACCTATATTCCATGTCATTTCGAGATTCCCAGAGATGTCTGCTCGGAGATAGACACAGTTTTCTGAGAACGGAGCTGGTTTTCCAAAGATTCTCTGGAAACCTGATGGTTAAAATTTTTTCAAAAGTTGTTTCCGCTTGTGAAAAGTTCCACTGAAGTCTTGGCTATCGATCGGTGAAAACCACAGGTCTCTGTCTCATTCCTATCAAAAGTTATTCAAAAAACATCCATCTGTTTTGACTTCTGGCGCCGATAGTAGTCCAAAGTAAAATGTAATTAAAAGTTGACAGCGGATTGGAAACATCAGGCGAAGCTAAGATTGGACTAGTCCAAAGTACAATTTAGAATTAATCAGGTCAATGTGATATTGGCCTAGGCTAATGTCAAATCAGATGATAATTCACGCATAATCGACAGAATGAATCATTTGTACTAGAAAATTCCTTGTAATGAAACAACGTCCTGTTTCGGACCTGTCATTTCAGACCAATTCCACGGAAGATTTTTGGACCAAACAGGCTTTGATTTCTCACTAGTTAGTTCCATAAGTCAACTGTACAACGATCTTTACAGAATCCACTCTGTTCAAAAGGGAT